TGAGGACTCCTAGAAGGCACCATTATATGGTTGCTCAAGTGTTTGTTCCTTGGCTGCTCTCTTTAGGGTCTGGATGCAGGGTTCAATAAATGCTTTCAGAAAGTTGAATTAATGAAAGTCATTTATAGACCATTCTAAATAGTCTCTTGAGGGATCTTTAACTTTGTACATGGGTTATTTGGGAGAAGTCATCACCTCTGCTCAGTAGAATTAAGGTAATCTAATGGAGTGAGTAAATTTAGCTAATCAGATAACTTACTAGACTTTCCTTTTAAAAGCTACTTCTTCACATTGACAAATGGATATAGATCATCCTATAGAAAACTTCTCAGAGTCATGGTTGTATAGTTTTATTATCAAAATAATAGTGTTGGGGGAGATGCCCATGTTGCATGTACAGCAGCAATAGCTTCATTCCTTTCTCTCTGATAGGTGTGGATTAGAACATATCCCCAAGGGGCTCTCTTTGCCCCAACCTTGAAGGTAAGGGAGAGGTGGATTTTACAAATGCCTTCACGTTTTTGACACTGGACAAACTCATCAGCACTAGAAATGACCAAAGCAAATATTTGCTCCGTTGCTTCTGAGGATGTATTTAGTAGGGGTACAGAGGAAAAGGAAGAGCTTGACGTTACAGTTAGAAACACATAACCTTAGAGTGGCTCCTTCACCCTGAGCGAGCTGCTTAGTCATTGTGGGCCTTTGTTTCCTCATCTGTAAAATGGAGATGCAAATTGGACTCTGTCAAGTGGTAGGAGGGCTAAATGAGATAGCGTATGTGAAGGACTTGGTGGATGGTAGGTGCTAAAACATATGCTTGTGCCCTCTAAGCACTTGTTAAGGTTGTGAGGTTCTGTGAACAGACTTATAGTTGACCACTGTCAGCTGGGGTATCAGCATGTATCATGTGGTAGATTAAAGCCGTGGCTGCAGGGGTGCCTGGGTGTCTTAGTAGGTTAAGTGTCTGCCTTTGACTCACGTCATGATCCCAGAGTCCTGGGATCGAATACAGCATCCCACTCCCTGCATAGTGTGGAGTCTGCTTCTCCCTCTTGGAGAAGTAGTGTAGTTAGATGTAGCTCTTCCCCCGTCATGCACCCATTCTCTCTCTCTCTTTGTCTGATGAAGAAATAAATAAAGCGGTGGCTGTTTCCTTTAGGGGTGAAATATCTTTCTGTATTTGTTTTAATGTGGACTACTTCAGGAAAAATTTTTTGTTAGGGCTTTTCTTTTTAGAGTTTTATTTTCTGATTCTTCAAGTAATGAATGCCTACTAGAAATAATTTAGCAGAAACAGAAAACTTGAAAGAAGAAAATAGAAATCACCTTTGATTCTAACATTCTTTTAAGTTTTCTTAAAGACTTTTCCTGTATGACTAGTATTAAAACTGTGGAGAAGGCTTGAATATCTGTTTTACAGGTCAAGTATGAAGGACACTTCTGTTTTATTTGGGGATCTGTGTAAATGTGTGAAGGATTCTGGTATCTCTCAGGATAAGACTCTGATTATAAATAACCTTGGACTTAATATCTGTACGTATTTCAGTTCCCTGTTTCTAGAACAGGATATTGGCATGTGATGCTTTTAAGACTTCCCACTACTCCCCAGTTTACTTAGCCTTTGAAGAACAGATACAATAGATAGATTTCAAGAGTATTCTCGAGCTTTTCCTCAGAACAAGTGATTTCTTGGTAGTTACAATTCTGAATAATCTTATATTATTGCATCAAAATTTATAAAAGATCTTGGCATATGTATAGAATAGGATAATAGCTATTGGACAACATATTTTAGGATTGACTTTGTAAGGTGGTGAGACATTTCATAGGTCAAATTAATCTCTTTAAAAAGAAATTTAAAGTTGAATGGCTCACTCAACAATAATTTTCCATCCTTCTGGATCTCTGTACTCCTAGGATTTTTGTAGTAGTATATATCTAGCCACAGTTTAAAATACTTGCTTTAGGGGCATCTGGGTGGCTCAGCTGGTTGGGTGTCTGCCTTTGGCTAAGATCATGATCTCAGGGTCCTGGGATCAAGCACCACATTGGGTTCCCTGCTCTCTGTGGAGCCTGCTTCTCTCTCCCTCTTCTCCTCCCCTTCTGCTCATGCTGTCTCTCTCTTTCACTTCCTCTCTCTCAAATAAATAAATAAAATCTTAAGAAAAATAAAATACTGCTTTATTTTTGAAGTTATATTTTTATGCATATTTTTAAACATTATCACTGTAAAAGAGATATCCTAGAAAATGAAAATTCTCTTGTGATTTTACTAGACTCTTTCAGATACTTCTTCATCTTCAAATCAAATCCAGTAAGCTTCTGAAATACCTTTAGATATCTCAGAAAGGGTATGTTGAAAGAAAAATTTGTTGCCTTTAGTTGTGGATATTGGATTCTTAACAATGAAATGAAGCTGCCTGCAAAATGCTGCAGGAAACTTGTCTTCATTATTTGAAGGAAAGGTGGCATTTCTGGACAGAGTTGTGGGTGTGTGGTTCAGGCAGTGTCAGAGCTGGCTAGAGCGGGGGGGGGAAGTGACTATCTGTTCAAATGAGATGACCTAAGAGGATCATCAAGACCCCATTTGGCCCCCAAATAACCTCATTAGCTGTCATGGTTCCTTCTGTTTTTCCTCTGTGCCTGAAATTTTCTTTGAGCAATTCATATAGTTTAGCTAGCAAAAACAGGTGAATACATAGGATGTTATTCTAGATGTGAAGAATCTACTCCCATATTCCAGACTGGAAAACCAGTCTTGCTATGTTATAGCAACACTGTTTGAGATAGGAAAAATTCAGGGAGCCATTTATGTGCTGTTGGCTAATTACCGTTTGGGGAGGTAAGGGCTTGGGACTGAGGAAAGGCTCAGAGCCTGTCCTGGGATCTCACTGTGGGGATAATTTAAAGGAGGGAGTTAAAGGGAGGTGCTCTTACAGTCAGAGGCTCTTGGGTGGGCAGGGCTGGGTAGGAACCCTTTGCAGTCCCTGGTCCACCTGTAGGAGGTCATATGGTATTACTGCACTGGGGAGGACTGAAGCAGACGTGTTTTTTTGTTTTAGCTCAGTTTAGCTCAGGCAAGTGGCACTCCTAACCAGCTAGCTGTTGACTTTCAGTCGGCCAGAGATACAGCAAAAATTTTTCTGGTGCAAGAAATCTTGGACACAAGGGATTTTAAATGAGAATATTTACATACTTACTTTCCTAGTCCTTGCCTTTTAAAAAAAAATTCCTTGGAATTTTTGAACATTTCTAATTTCTAATTTAAAGTGCTCAATTTAGAGACATAGTTCTTTATGGTTGACACACACGACTTTTGAACTTTGGGTCACACACAACATTTCTTAGAGGTCAGTGTTATCCGCTAGAGGTGGAATATGGGAGTGTCTTGTGGAACTATCTATGGATTGAATGATATACATCCAGCAAGATAACTTCACTCAGGTAACTCTGGTTGAGTTAGCTCTCCAATTCCCAACATGGATATAAATTTAAATGACACAGGAAAAGATAATTTAACTAAATTACATCTGTTTTTTTCTATTGTGATCAATACTGCTTGAGAATTCATGGGAGTTTCTTTTTTTTTTTTTTTGCACTTAAGTGTCTGTGTATCTATTTAAATGTACTAAATTTTGTCAATTTGTTTGACAAATTGTAGCAGCTGCACTGCTACCATCTAGTGGACAATTAATGCAATTAATCATTCTTTGGCTTGACAGCTTCTGAACTACTGTGGCTTCAAAGGATTCTTCTTTTGTTGTTGTTGTTGTTCATTTCATTTTATTTTTTCATCACAAAGTATTCTTCTTTTGAATAGAACACTATCATAGATATTTTAACATGTTTTGCTCGATATGGAATCCTGTTTTCCTTGGATCCACAGAAAACAACGAGTTCATATTTTAAAGTAAATAGAATAGTAAAGTAGATTTTAAGTTAAGAGATGCTCCTGAACTGCAACTAAATGCCTATTATTATATTTTAAAATTTGAACTTTGCATAATACTCTCTGAAATTAGCATGTTCAATTCTAATTCTGGGAAACTTCAAGTCATGGAGTAATTTTTGCCTCTTTTGTTTAAGACCAAACACCCTCTTGTTTTACCTCCCATCTGCTTTGTATCACCCTCCTTAACAAATCTCCTTGTTAACACCCTTCTGACACCCTCTTGTTTTACGTCTGTCTGCTTTCCACCTTAGCAGGTTGATGTTTTAAAAACTCTGATCATGTCATTTGCAACTGAATGTTTTCCATGGCTTCCCATTATTCTTAGACCAATGTTCCAAACCCTTAAGCTCTAAGCTTTGTTTAATAGTCCCTCCTTCCCTCCTCAGCCCCAGTACATGCCCTTCTTTCTTCTGGCTTTCTTCCTAAGATTTCTGCATCTTCACAGGGCTTGGAAGGGGCACTCTCTTCATCCAGATCATTGTGATTCTTTCTTCAGGTTCCAGGATTCTCTGAGAGAGCCTTCTCTTCCACATCAGGGAGGTAGACCGAGTATATGTTCTTTTTATGTAATTTGTCTAGCACTTACTTGCTTAATGTAAATTAAATCATGAATTACTAAATAATTTGTGAAATATCTAATTATTTATTTCATGTCTGTCTTCCTGAATGTTCATTGAAGGCAAGAACGGTCTTTCTTTTTCATTGTTCTGTCTCTAATTGCTTAACAAAGTGTTTGACATGTAGTCGACAATTCATAAAATAAATGAACTGAGAAGAAAGCTAAAGCAAGATGGGGTCTTTTCCCCTAAATTTCCTTGTATATATCTTCTTCCTCATAAGCCCCCATTATAACCGTACATCTCTAGAGTCTGCCAGTGTTGGCAAATACCCTGAGGACTTTAACTGCTATATAGTTGATCCGCATCATTACCTGTGGATGGCTTGCTTAGTCACTGGTTCACATCATTTTTTTTCCCCAAAGAAGTAGACAGTCTTGTCAGGTTTCTAATTATAATGATTCCTTTTTATTATGATCAGTATTAAAAGATCCAAGTAGTTTAATAGACTAGAGGCTTAAAAGAAATATTGGGGTCTAGAAAATATCCAGGCAGACTAAAATAAGAATTCAGGATAGGAAAGAGACAAAGAGTGAGCACTTTGAAATAAGGCTGTCATTATTCTCTGCTAGTACAGATGTCCCAGGACATATCTGGCAAGGTACTTGATGGCCAGCATCGTCTCCTCACAGGTTGGCCGAATCTGGGATTCAGGGAGGGCAAAGCCATATCTGCCTTTGTCCCGGAGTTCAAAGGTAAAGGAATATTTGATACCTTGGTCATAAGCCCAGTCATCAGAGCCTCCAGCAGCAGGATCTGAAATATGCAAAGAGCAGAAAAAAATAAACAAACCCCAAAAAACTTTAAATTCAGGAAGGAAATTTAAAAAAAAAAAAAAGAAGAAGAAAACCAGCTTTCTTTTATAGTTACAACTCTTTCACTGGGCAAAATATTATAGGTAGGCCAATTTTCTGGAAAACTGGGTTATAAAAGATATGGGGGGCTGTTTTAAAAAATCAGTCCAATCTTAACCTCTAAGCCTAATTAGTGGGAATGATGTATTTCATACCCCAGGAAGTATGTAATTTATAATAAAATATAAACTTCTCACTGTGCTTGTATGCTTTGGTAAACTATATCATATATAATTTGTTTACAAAATAGAGATAATTTCTTAGGAAAGAATGTTTCCTAGGAAAATATGGAGAGCCACATGATGACTGATGATAGGAGAGGGCTCCAAACCCCAAGGAAACAGTGCTGACTAATGAAATCAGAGCATCTTGAGGGCAAGGCTGGGCCTTTGTGTTTCCTCAGGGCCTAGCAGATGGTCTGGCCCAGGTTAGCATTAGGCCGAGGTTCAGTTCTTCATTTGGTAGCAGTTACCAAGTCACTGCCTTGTAGATTTTGTATCTCTTCAGTCACTAGGTTATTTGTTCGTTCATTCATTAATTCATTCTTTCATCTCTTTATTCAGTCAACAGCCGTACAGCCCTCACTGAGCAGCAGGCCATGGGCTCTCCTCTGGAGATGCCAGCATAAAGGAAAGACGTGACTTAATGCCCTTCAAGCATTTACAGAATGGGAAAAGAACCCTCACTGAACTACTCTGCATAAAACATATAAGAAGTTCACAGTATATGAATAGATGGGCTACTTCTGTTAGAACCCCCTTTGGAAAACACTGTACCCCGTATGATTCAGAGCAGGTTAAAAAAGGATAAGACTATAGAAAACTGTATTTTACATAAAACAAAACAAAACAGAACTCAGGACTGGAGCCTCTCCAGCTGCATTGGAGGGCCCTGTGATGACAGGACTGGGTCTTCTCCCTTGTATTTCTAGTTCTTTCAGATCTGGGGCAAAAAGAAATCATGCAAAGGCAAAGGATAATATAAGTAGAAATTTAAAACGGGGCCTGCAGGATGTGCCTTCCCAGTGAAATTTAAACTCTTCAGCATCTAAGTGAAATCTGGGGTCTAGCCCCTCTCTAACTCTCTTGCTATGTGTCTCTTGCCACTTACTCCAACACACTGAGTGACTGGTCAGAGGGGCTGACATCTACCACTGGAAAGTGGCTTGAGCCTGAATCAGCCCTTGCGTCTGCAATCTGTTTAGTCAGGAAAACACTCCTTCTTATACTTTCTTATACTTATACTTTCTTCAGCAATTGTCCTTCCAGGTAAAGCGGCTGTGTTATCCTAGACAGTCATCCCTGATGCTGTGGGATGGGCTGGTTGGTGCTGGAGTATGCTCTTTCCTTGTGCATCTCTGTCATAACATCTAGCACCCTATATTTAGTTTTCCTGCTGCCCTACTGTAGATTTTTTGAAGACTGTGCTAGTTCCCCAACTTCCCTTTCTCCTTTTCTCTTGCCTTCCCTCCATCCTCCTTTCCTTTCTTTCCTAGCACCTAGTGAGCACCTGGCACATAGCAGTGGCTGCCTGATGGATGTTTACCGGGCGCAACTGTTTTCTTGGGTTGGAGGGGATACTTTTTCTGAACAGAAAACTGATGACATGTATAAAAAATTCACTGTCAGGCAAAAGCCACATGCTTTAAATGATCTGAAAGGAAAGGGTCTGGGAACCATTTGTTGCCTTTTTAGGCATGTGGTCTCTTTGCATAGTTCTGAAGCCAAGACTCACAGATTGTTGTAGCTCCTGGGCCATATGTGTACTTGGTGCCATGCAGGGTGGCAAGTTCTTTTATGGTGGCTTTAGCCAGGGCGTTCTGCAAAAGAACCAGCAGCAGTTCATGAGTAAATAAATAAAAGCACACACTGACAAACAGACAAACATCTGTACATTATTTTTAAGACATTGAAGAAGTATAAGACACAGTTTGAGTTAGTTTTAATCCTGCTCAGTGTCCATCCAATTTTTCTTGCTAAGCTGATTATATGATCCAAGTAATTCTTGTGAAAATATGTCTTCCCTAATGCCCTCTCCAGGCACTCACTCTGAGCTTCCCTTTGAATGTGTGTCATATTGTGGCAATACCATTTACTGGCCTCTGAGTTTTCAGTGACTTTTTCTGTCTTTTATCTCCATGTCTTCAGGGCCCTGGTCAAGGGTTACCAATTGGTGGTGGTCCAGGAACTATTTGTTGGAACTCTGAAGATCATTAGCATATTACCCTCTTATTTGAGCATTAGGTCTTTAAATTCATTGTAAATAATTGTTGTAGTAAAGTATGGGTCCTAGCAGTAACTTCTGTTTTAGTCAGAGGACAATCTTTTACTTTCTTTCTTTTTTTTTTTTTTTAAAGATTTTATTTATTTATTTGACAGACATCCCAAGCAGGCAGAGAGGCAGTCAGGGAGAGAGGAAGGGAAGCAGGCTCCCCGCTGAGCCGAGAGCCCAGTGCGGGTAGGGGGGTGGGGGAGGTGCTGGATCCCAGAACCCTGGGATTATGACCTGAGCTGAAGGCAGAGGCTTTAACCCACTGAGCCACCCAGGTGCCCCGACTTTCTTTCCTTTTTTATTTACATAGAACTTAGTGTGTCTTTTTTCCCAGGTATTCTTCCTTAGGCTTGTTAAACATTTTGTTTTTTTAAACCTTAGTTTAGGCTAGAGAAATGAGACTATAGCAATCTGTAACTGTCTCAGATATCACATTCATTGATTTAGTAAAATGTCAGTGTTTATTAAGAATTAGGTTATGTGTAAGGATTAGTTTGGCAAATCTATATTGTCTTTGGAGCTTATAAGAGAAAAGCAGGAGACAAGAAGGTCTTTGTGATTGTACAAAGAGGTTGTCTACCTAATACAGGTAAACAAAAATCAAACACATACAAAATAACCCCCAACAAAACAAAACATAAACTACCTGGAAATGTGGCAAGTTATAAAGCCAGGACAGGATAGAATTATATAAGCTGGGGCAGGAGCATTAAAAATTACACATATGAATGATGGGATACTTAATACAGTGTTCACTGCCAACACTGGAACATTGGTAGTTCCAGGGATCAGGGTGGTTCCATCTTGGAAGATTTTTAGACTGAAGAATTAGATAACATCTACTCTATTTCAAATGAAGAACATTTGAATTCCAGAATTTAAAAAAATCAGCAAGTATTAGCTTATGTGTATTTTTGTTTTTTAAGAAGTGGCTTCATTTTCTCAAAAGACCCATTGCTTTTCTGCCTCAATGCCCCCCAACTCTTCAAGGGTGAGGGCTCTGTGCCCCCAGCCTCCCTGTGCTGTAAACTTCCCAGCATCCACTGACATACTGCATATTTAAATGAAATCACTCAAAAAGTAAGGCCTGACTTGGCTGTCTTGGGAATACAGATTTGAAAATCTGATTGTTTACTACAGGAGAATTAGCCATAATTCATTCTGGTTATGAAACTAGCTATATTTCATATTTTGGCATCATAATTATGTCTTGTACATATGCTTGGAAAGCAGTGAGGTTGGTGATGAAATAAAAATACTCCTCATTTTACAAAGTAGCAGCTTCTCTTAGTCCTTGTTATAATATGAAAACCAGTTTAGTAGTGTCCTATGTCAGATTGACAAGGGCATGTCTATAAAATTTCAAAGTTCCAGCTTCCAAATTGTTAGTGCTGCACCAACTGAGTGATAAATTAGAAAATTTAAAAAGAATTATAAAACATAATTCATGATTTTCTGGTCTGGTCCACTGAAATGGTGTAATCTGTTTCTTGGAACTAATTTATTCTCAGAGCTTCGAAACACTAACTTGAAAATTTTAGGGTTTTACTTCCCTTTTTTCCAATCTGGTAAACTAATACATGTTTTCTTTTACTGCATAGGATCTTCACTGTTGTGATCTAAATGTATAGTTCCTGTTGTTTAATCTTGTTCTAACCAACACACTAGAGCTAAGTATTCTCTTTACCCTTTAGTATAGGACCTATTGCAGATTGAAATGAGAATAATTAACAGTTGCACAGTGCTCAGAATAGATATAAAATCATCATGTGGAAATGTGAAATGTGGTGAGGTGCTAATATTTTTGGTAAGTAAATAGTACAGTTTCTACTGTTCTACAATTTCTTTAACTTGCCATTCATTTGAGGACACCTGTAGTTATTTTTCTGTAAGGCAGAACCTCTAATTCTAAAGAACTCTGATTCCTTTGCTAGTTACCATTCTGAGGCTTTTCATCTGTTCTGGTTTCCCCCTCCCCATTTAAGTCTTGAATTATTACTTCTAGTTAGAAATACAGTTCTAATAAGTTCCGGGGAACTAAGGTAAAGCGTTATGACTATGATTAGCAGTACTGTACTATATACTTGAAGGTTGCTTTGAGAGAGTAGAGCTTTAATGTTGTCACCATCACAAAACAACAAAACAGCAACACAACAAAATGATAGTTACGCGAGATAAAGGACATGTTACTAATGTGAACATTTCCCTATATCTATGTGCATCAAATCATCACATTGTACCCCTTAAACTCACACAGTGTTTTAAGTCAATTATAGCTCAATAAAGCTGAGAAAAAAGTAGTGTGATTCTGTAGGATTAGTTCTAAACATGAAGTTACGAAGACTAGAGAAGATTTAAAATAAGAAGATCATTGAAGTTATCCATTAACTTCAAGTTTCAACTTCAAAAAACTTCAAGTCTCTTAATATGTTTATTGATATGATGTAATATATGAGTTATATGACAAAACTGAAGGGGCCTACTTGTGATCTGTTACCTCATTTGACTTACCAATTTATCATTTTAGTCATAACTACTGTTAGGACCACACAAAAATGTTCAGTTTGCCTTTCCTCAAAGTGAGAATTACATGTTTTCTAAGACTTCCTAGGCATCTTCTGGAAGAAGTTGTTCTGCCTTTGGCACTGACTGAAACATTCAAGATTGATATTAGTTTAAAAAGGATGTTAACATGTTGCTGTCACTGGTGCACATTTCAGGAACATTTAGTTTGTGTCCGCCTTTGCTTTCCTTATTCTCAGTTGCTCTGTCCTCTTGATGTCTACCTCATCACTCATCTTCTGAGTGTCATTTCATCACCACATCTTTCAGTGGCTTTCTCACCTTCTCTTGAAGTCCCAACTTCCTTTCTTAGCCTAAAGGGTATGAGGTAGCCCCTCCTTTCTCTTTCAGTCTGCGTCACTTGCTGTGCACTCCGTGTTCCTTTGGAGCTAGGTTTCCCTGAACTTCTTCCCCATACACTTCTTCTTGACTCTCCTTACCTCCCTCACTTTGGATATCCTTCTCCCTTTGTTGGAATCCTCTTCTCGTCTTTGTTCACTTGGAGAACTACTGTTGTTTGTCCACATTTAGTTTTAGTGTCATCTTGTTAGTGAAGCTGCCCCTGAATCTCTTAGGGAGCAACGATTCCCCCTCCTTTGTGAAGGCTAATACCACTATCAGAGTTCCTGGCACTGTGTTGTATAATGAGTTGTTTTTGCATCTATTTTGCATCACCTCCCAGGTGAGGTCCTTATAGGAAGGGATTCTTGGCTATTTATTTTATATTCTCAACAGATTGTATAGCATCTAGTACATGGTTGGTTAATTGAGTCTAATCCTAGGACTGGGGCAGTACAGATGAGCCCGATTTGGGTGCGTGTGCAGGACACTGAGCCCTGCAAAGGCTGTGACATATGTGAGTGGAGATAGGGGATGTTTGTGGGGAGGGCACAGTACCATGTAGTGATGGTTGATGGGTTGCCACATTTACACAATGACTTCTTCTGTGCATTTTACTTATTTCCATTAATTTTTTAAAAAACAAAGTCTGTGGACCCTTTCTCTCTGCCCCTCTGAGGCCAAGAGACAAAAAAAAAAAAAAAATCAGAACAGACATTAATTGACCAAAATATCATATTTTAAATTCCAATGATCATAACAAAAATCCCTGGAATCAGTGTGGGTCTTTTCTTTTGAAGAGTTCAAATACTTTCACAAATGTTACTCATTTATCTTTCTAACACTATCTGTCCACATTTCATCAGCATAGAATTTTCTCGCAGAATGGAATGCCACGTGGGGCACCATGCTCAGTGGGAATGTTCCAACCAAGCTGGGTGACTGACCCCAGCCAGGAATGGTAAAAGAGAGATAATTCCTGTATTTGCTAAAACGTTAGAGTGGTAACTCCTTTCCCTTGTACATTTCTGTAAAAAGGGACTAAGACAGCTGACGAAAGATCCGCAGAAGCAATAGCACATCAGAAAGCGTGATCCACATCTTGAAACTCCAATTAAAGACATTTTCTTTACACCCTGTCATTTGAGGGACATCTTACATCCTTGCTCAATGGGTTCAAAATAAGAACTAACATTTACATAAAACCTTAGACTTTACAAAGAGCTCTTGATAAGAGCTAGATATTTTTATCCCCATTTTACGGATAAAAGAACTGAAACTCAGAGAGGATAAAAGAACTTTCCCAAGGGCATGCAGCCCCATAAGTGGCTGACTTGAGCTAGGTTCTTCTTGCTTTAAATTCTGTGCTCTTTTTCACTTCTCCTTGTGGCCTTCGAATACTTCAAAAGAAGTGTTGCTGGAGCTGGTTTTACCAATTGTAAAGAACAGAAGGAAGCTAAATATAAATCAGCCTCAGAGAAAACTTTGCTTTCAGTCAAGGCCAAACATGGCCAGCCTTTATTAATCCTTAGATATGAGTTTCCTACCATGTCTTATGCATGTTCTCTTTTGTCACCTGTTTTCTTAAAAAGAGGCCTTGGTCATAGAGCAAAAGACAGAGAGAGTCTAAAATGTCACATCTAACTC